CAGTACTGGTTATCATAAGGGGACCCTCAATTTCTGTGTCCCCCATACTGAATATTACACATTGCTTCCTTTTGCTGCACAGGTTCAGGCCCCTCCGGTCATTCCTGCAACTCCCTCACCCACAGCAATAACTGAGGTCGCTTCTGGAGAGACTGCAGATGTGGTCCAAGCTGCTGCAGAACAGAGCTTCAGTGAACTAGGGCTGGGGTCATATACCCCAGTGGGAATGATCCAGAACCTACTGGAATTTATGCATGTTGACGTAGGCCTACCTTGGTGGGGGGCCATTGCTGCATGTAAGAGGAGTGCATCCTGGGCAAGTGTGGAGGAAATGGGGAATTCGGGATAGAACTTTACAGAAAGCAGTTCTGTAAGGGTATCAGGAAATAGTTACAGAAGTTTAAGTGGGTCAGAAAAAAACAGATGGTTTTAATGAGGGATAAAGGCTCATTATACATAGATGCACTCTACCTGTATTTCCTAAAGGACATTATAAAATCACTAGAACATGTGCAATTCAAAAAATGGAAATATTTGAATGTGAGCATGATGTTAGAGTAAGGGGACCTTGTTAACAATGATGAAGCTGCCCTGGGTTAGGAGAGTAGGTCAGGTCAGGCACTTCAATCCAAAATTAGGAAGACATTCACATTGCTCCTCTTGTAGGCTAAGCTATGTTTCGATTCTGTATCTCCCTGCACCTTGCTCCAGCAATCATACCTCATCTCCCTGTATCTTCAACTTCTCCCTTTTTACTGCCCTACTAAGAACATAAAAACATGCTCAAGCATATCATGTGCTTCTTGTAAGAAAATCTTTTTCCCTTTATCCTTAGCTCACTTTTAACTATTCTGCTGTTTTTCTCCTTCCTTTTGTAGCTGTTTTGGTAGTGTTCTTTTTCAGTTCTTTGTTGGGTTGTTTTTTTTTAATTCTCACCACAGGACATTTTTTCATTGCTTTTAGAGAGAGAGGAAGGGAGAGAGAGAAATATCGATGTAAAAGAGAAACATCAATTGGTTGCCTCCCACACGCACCCAGACAGGAGGTGCCAGGGGTTGTACGTGCCCTGACTGGAAATCAAACCTGTAACCTTTCAGTTAAGGCATGATGCTCCAACCAACCAAGCCACACTGGCCGTGACCCATAGCTGTTATTTAAAAAAGTATTCTGTATCCAGTGGACTTGCTTCTTTTTTCCACTCTTTGATCCTCAGTAATCTGACTTCTACTAATACCACTTTATTCTAACTGCAAGTCTCACATCATTGCTAAATCCACTTTTCCTTTTATACTTGATCTTTCTGTGTTCGACACTTTAGATTTTGAAATATATTCCTTGGCTTTTGTGACAGTCTTTTCCGATTTTTACTTCCTTTTTTTTGTTGTTGTTCTGTTTTGCTTTTTTTTTTTAAAAACATTAGTTGGTTGACTCTGGTATGTGCCTAGACAGCAGATCATACCTGCAACCTAGATATGTGCCATGACTGAATCAAACCCACAACCTTTGAGTTATGGAACAATGCTCCAACCAACTGAGCCATGCCAGCCAGGGCTTTTCCTGTCTTTTAGACCACACTTTCCAATCTCCATTTCCCAATACACTACCTACCCCAGAATACCAATGCTTGTATTCTGGGTTCCATCCTTAGCTCCCCTCTTTCCACTGCACATCATCCATCATAATGTTGGTAAAGCCTAAACCTATATCTCCCCTCAGCCCCCATCTCTTTTTAGCCTAGACCCACTTGTCTGTAGATACCATAAATATTTGTTGGAATGATCAGGAAATGTGAAGTGTAATAAAAGAAGTAGGAAGGTGCTTAAGCAGTAGACCACCATATTATCTCCTGCTTTAGAGGTTTGAGTCAGTAGCTTTCAAACTTTATACCTGGAAGTCCCAGAGTTCTGTAAAGGTACCTTAGTGCAGAGCAAAGACCAGAACTTAAACAATCCTTTAGCCAGATTACCCCCTCACCTAGAGCAGCTTGACTTTATTTGTTATGCATATTGAGACTACACTTAGAGTTGGGGAGGCGGGGAATGTTCCATTAATGATAGAAAAGTTTGCAAACTATTGGTCTAGAAAAGTAGCTTTGTCACCTTTCATTCAAGGAAAAACAAGATTCCTGGTTATTTGCTTAGAGAAGTTAATGTTAGACTGTTGAGAGGTTAAAGCAGAGGACTGAACCTTGAAGGAACTAACTCATACTCCTACCCTTTGTTTTGGGCTCTTTGGGTATGAGTCACAGTGTGGGAAAAACTAGAGTAAGAGAGACCCTTTTAGTGAGAATCTAAAACTTTTAAGCCTTCTAGTTGCAGAACTGCTTTAATTTTACTTCAATCCTAGTGTGTTTTTTCCAGGTACAGTCCTTGCCCGCTGCCTGGTGTTTCCTCTCATTGTGAAGGGCCAGCGAGAGGCAGCCAAGATCCACAACCACATGCCTGAGATCCAGAAGTTTTCCACTCGAGTCAGAGAGGCCAAGTTGGCAGGAGACCATGCTGAGTGTGAGTCAATTGCAGAATGAGCGTGGGAGAGGACCACATTTACACTTTCCTGACATTCTGCTGAAGGAAAAGAACAGTTTATATCAGGAATTGCTACTGTTGGGCAGGTCCTAAAGATTTGCCTGCTTCTTGAGCCATTAGGTAACTGACCCTGGTGTGCTTCTAGTGACTGGCCAGGGTCAGTTAGAAATGTAATGGGCCAGATGATCGTCACCTCCACCAACGTAACTGTCTGCCCAACCACTAACTTCCCCTCACTTAACAGTTTACAGGGCCTCGTCAGAGATGGTATTGTATCAGAAAAAGCATGATATTAAACTCTTCAGACCTCTCATTCTACCTCTGACTCAGGTAAAAAACATTTCCATTCTTGTTTTATGCTGAACCAATCAGATTACCTTCTGTTTCCCATGCCCTAGACCCCCAAAAAGCAGGTGGTGGTAATATTGTACATAGTTTTCAATAATGGGATGATGAAAATGTCCCCTCTGATAAAGGGTCCTGACGCTGTTTATCCTATGTAATAGGCACCAATCTTCATCTCCTTCTTCATTGCCTTGAGAGAAATGGCCAACCTTCCTGTGCCGAGCCTACAGACAGGTGGCCTCTGGTGGTTCCAGGATCTCACACTATCTGACCCTACCTACATATTGCCACTGGTAGTCACTGCTACAATGTGGGGTGTCCTTGAGGTAAGCCCATGCTGGTCAAGTGCCAAGTCTGCAAAGTGAACTGGGATTAGGGGTAAAGTAGTTTCTTCCTAGAGAAATAAGAGTTGATAGGTAAGAAATTTGTCATTGTCACTAAAATTGCTACTCTTCCTCTGCCTTTTTTTTTTTCCTTTCAGCTCGGTGCTGAGACTGGTGTACAAAGTACTGACCTTCAGTGGATGAGAAATGTTATGAGAGTGATGCCCCTGGCAGTCTTGCCCATAACTGTGCATTTTCCCTCGGTGGGTAGTAACTTACAGGCTGGCCCCAAGTCGTTCCAAATAACCTAGCTACATCCCAGCAAGCTGACCATGAATTTGCCTTCTGAGTACCTTCTCTTCTCTTCCAGGCAGTGTTCATGTATTGGTTCTCCTCGAATATGTTTTCCCTGGTCCAGGTGGCTTGCCTCCGGATTCCAGGTGTACGCACTCTACTTAAAATCCCTCAGCGTGTTGTGCATGACTCTAGCAAATTACCTCAAGAAAACTTTCTAAAGAGCTTCAAAAGAGGTAAGGGCCTGTCCTCTGAGAATTAGGACCAGGGAAAAGTGATCTAAAAACAAGTGTGAGTTCGACTGTCTCACTCTTATGTAGGCTGGAAGAATGCTGAACTCACCTATCAGCTACAGGAGCGTGAACGGCGCATGCAGAATCACTTGGAGCTAGCAGCCAGAGGTAAATAATCCTTTCAGGCTAAATTCTGTCATTGTTTCTCCCTTGCCTTTGTTCATTGAGCTTCTGTTCTTCCCCCAGGTCCCCTACGACAGACCTTTACCCACAACCCTCTGCAACAACATGGGAAAAATCCTCCTCCCAACACCCCTAACAACAGCAGCAGCAAACCAAAGTCAAAGCAGCCCTGGCGTGACACACTTGGCTGAATTCTGTTACCTGCTCATAGTGACATTAACTCTGCCTCTCCAAAGACTTGGTCTTAGAACAAGACTTGACACTGGGTCCTTGCCCCAGACTTAGAAACTGTGGGACATAGAGATGTTTGTTTTAAAAGTGGATTCCACTATAAACTCTTACATCCATATAAAGAGTACTGGGGAGCCAAGTGATCTTCCCATCTGCAGAATTAGTAAACCTTTGTACTGTAAGTTGCTTCCCGGTACTTATTAAATGGAGAGCTGGATTGTGTGCTTCAGTAAGCTAAAGAATAGATTGGTGATGATTCCTTTTGATGGCCCATGCTCTTTGGAAGTGTCCCAGTGTAGCAGCCTGGCGTTAAGAGCTTAGATCCCCACCGGATAGATGGGTTGTTCCAGCTGCATTTACCTTGCAGTCATAGAGGTGTGCCTGATAAGTTGAGATTATATCTAAATAGAGTAACCATGTTTACTGACCCCAACATTACTTACAAAACATCCTTAAAAGATGTGCTCAGATTCATAGTGGTAGTTTCTATCTAACAACATTTCATTGCAGCAGCATAGATGTAGAGATTTGTTGCATCAGCCTTCAGCAACTAGCTTGGGACAGAAGAAATACTTGAATACTGTCAAACATTAGATTGTTTTTAGTCTTCCTGCCAGGCTAATAGGAACTGCCCCAGAGACTATATGAAGTGAAGTCATTCAAAGCTTAGGAACATAACCCTTTTATTGTCCAGCACCTATACAGTTTCATGTCTCTAAAGGAGACAGGAAGATTGGACCATTATTGGCCCTTTTAAAGGAAACGAGGAGAAGGTAGGCACACCCAGAGGTGAATGAATATTTTAACACATGGGAATGTGCTACTGGAACAAAAAAGCCCACACCGGACATGCTCCCGCCACAGTCCGCTTTATCATCCCTTTTTAAAAATCTGGAACGTATTGTAGCAAAACAAATAAATTACTGTCCATCTCCCAAAAAGCAAGTTCAAAAGTTGTTGAAGCTCCCTAGACCAGGGGCCTCCGGAGAAGCAAGCTTTCCTTTTCAACGTCCTTGGCTTCAGCCGGTAGAAAACAGACGCCCCAGCTTCTCACAACTCAGGATTCTGGATGATATTTAGTTAGACTTGGGATTTTGTTGCTTGGGCATCTCTCCTTCATCTTCCAAATCCATCTCTGCAGCAACTGACATACATAGGACCTGGAAGTACCATGTGGCAGATGCTACAAAGAGAAGTTTGAATCAAAATTCAGGAGGGGTCGACTGGACCGAGTTCAAGTGGCTCTGATGGGGTTGGGCCTTGAGGAGACAATTCAGTTAAGCCTTAAGGTTAGCAGGAAGGGTGTTAACCTTAAGGCAAAGGTGACCTAGGACAGGATTTGCATAAAAAGCAAAAAAAAAAGGGGGACGCGTTAGCCAAGTCAACCAAAGGATTCAAACCTTACCCACAATCCTTCGGAGGCAATGAGGTCGTTTGTGTTCTGGCACTCTGATGATGAAGAAGTAAAAGGGCAAGCCTGAGAGAGCAATGCCAATGCCAATGAGGGAGTTGATGGTATCACTGTAAAGTGGAACAGCCACCAGGAAGACAGTGCAGCAGCAGAAGACAATGGGGAAGAAAAGGCTGAGCTAAGGGCACAGAAAAAACAACTAGAAGTTAAGACAGTTCAGGATTGACAGCCAAAATAACCACCTCCTATGAAGATAAGAGCACTGAGCTGCCTTCCCATCCCCTTCATCTAAACACATTAACACCAAAGGTCTCTGTATCTTGTAAGAATTTCTGGAACAGAAGGAGCAGGTAGGTTGGAGGTGAGTTACCTTGAGGGAACGAGGTCGATCAGGCTCCCTCCAACGCAGATAAAGCTGACCCACAATGGAGAGCCCAACAAAGAACCAGTAGCTGAAGCTGTAGTAGTTAATGAGCTGGAATATGTCCTCTACACACAAGTAGATCAATGCCATGATACCCTGTAAGCACAAGTTAGCTCTTCAGGGCCTTTGTTACTCAAGGTATTTTTCACTCCCCTTTACCAAATCCATCCTCATAAGTCCTCAATCTCCCCATCTGTCCTTTTCTGTTCCCACCCTCTTTAGTACCCGAGTTTCAATACCTCATTCGTTTTCTTTGGGTTGGTCAAAAGTCTTGTTTTTCCGTAAAATAAAATACATTTTTTGTTTTCACCAATAACTATTGATTTGGATGTTTTGAGTATCGTGGCTATCTCCTGCTATTGGCTTCTAGTGGGTAGAGGCCAGGGGTACTGCTAAACATCTTCCAATGCATAAGGCAGCCCCACAGCAAAGAATTATTTGGCCAAAGTGTCAATAGTACCAAGAAACCACAAACCACTTTTGGCATGATTGATCAGTCACAGCACCTCCATACACAGCACAAATCTTTTTTTGTGTTTCAGTTGTGTTTTTACCTTTCTTAAAGCATAATACGGCAAAATACTACATATCCTCTTCCATCTTCAATATTAAAATGGGTGCACAAAAATTCACCAATTTTGGTAAGTTTCTCTTTAAATGCACACTGATATGACAGCTGTTGAAGTACAATCTAACAAAATTGCTTCAAGTGAAGTAAAGGACAACTAAGCACTACTAGAGCCATCGTACAGGAAAAACTAAATGAACTTTCTGGCCAGCCCAGTATTAAGGCAATAGCCTCAGTTGTTTTTTTCAGTCCATTCTTAAAGCCTTTGCCAAGTTAATCTCCTATAAAACAGTTCAAAACAATTCCTCAAAAATCTTTTGCCTAAAAGCCTCCGCATAATGAGTCCGGCCTACATTTAATTCCACACTTTAACTCAGCACTTTCTGATGCTGTTTCCCTTAACCTAAGGCCCATCTCCTCTGTTGGCAACCCTAACCTTAAAAACCTACTTCAAATGTTCTTAGTCAAAGAAGTCTTCTCATTCACCATCCACCCCCATGGAAGTGATCGTTTCTTTGCTTAGAGGCTGCATCACTTAATATCAGGGCAGCCATTACAATGTATCCCATGTGTTTTATGCCTTATCCTGAACCAAAGGAGGTTACCATTCTTTAGAGAAGATAAATTCTCTCCTAAGAACTATGGCAGCAGTTAGTACAGTATCTTGTCCACAGTGGATGTTCCATCAGTTTTTCTATTGGAATCTCCTTGAGAGCTTTCAGGAAGCCAGGACAGTTGCATCTGCTGTTACTTATTTCCCCCTCAATCTGGCTTTCAGCCTCATCCTTATGATCACTTACATTGAAGAGCAAAGCAGGCACTGGGGTGAACCGCTCAACATGAACCATGCTGATGGCATCAGGGAGATGACCTTCTCGTGAGCCCACAAAGAAAAGCCTATTTTTGAGTAAGATAAGAGAAGCTGAGAAACTTGTACAACACTGGGTGTGGCCTATTTTATGTGACACACAGCTTTCCGTCTCTTCCATCCCCTCCAGAAGGGTTTGGATGATACAGGATGGAGTTCAATATTGAGATTAGTAAGAACTAGAGGCTGCTGATGGAAAGAAGAACAAAGAAGTTATGAATGTCATTTGGGTAGCACAGTGACTAAAGTCTGCATCCTGTAAGTCCTGCCTCCCCTTGTCATAGGTTTCCAAAAACCCTCCAGCAAAAGATATCACTCTTACCTAGAAGCAGCCACAATGGAGGCATTGAGGCCACCAAAGCAGGATAATGCAACTGCCAGTGGAATTGTCCAGTTGAATATTCCAAAAATCTGATCTGCAAAAGTCTAAGGAAAAGAGTCATTAGTGATGAAAGGCATAGACAGGCATGTCCCAAATTCCCACTATTTGAAACCCAACCCACAACAGTGGTAACGTCCTCCTTGCAAGTCCAGTATCCCAGTATGCTTTCAAGGACTATGCCTTTTCTGGGACTTTCAAGAGCTGCACTATATCTAGATCCCACAAACACCCTCAGTCTTCTGCTAGTGCAAATCGTTTACCACAGCAACAGCATCACTGGCCAGGATGTCCCTCATGTCTAGCACGGTGTAATAGGCCACATTGGTCAAGATGTAGATGATGGTAACAATGGGCATGGAAATGGCAATGGAGAGGGGCAGATTCCTACAGCCAAATAGAATAATAGATACATTAGTTCCACAGTCACATCCCCATCTCTCCTTTAATCCTTAAACTGTCACACTGGTATCCTTTCCCCAGTGCCTTTGCCTTTGTTGCCTAGGATAGTGACTTGAGCTTTAAACTCTTAAAAATTAAAGAGCATCAAGGGAAAGGAATGTCACATTTGGAGAAAGGGCTACTATGCAAAAAAAAACTATGCAAAAAAAAAAATCACATAATAGCAAAGGAAAATGGGAGGGGTTTTTTTGGAGTGGGGGGGAGTCATTTGTTTGCTTGGTTTTTACATCCAAGGATTCTTCCTCTAAAATTGTGAACATTGAAAAAAAATGTAAACATTGAAAATTTTGTTTTAAGGTTGAGAAATGCTGTATAAGAAATTAAGGAGGCAAATCATAAAATGTAATCTTAACCAGAGAATAAGAATCCCTCAGGAGAAAGACCAATGTGTGTATCTGAACAAGCAACCTGGGAAATAGGTCCATCCTGCCCCCTTACTCAGAAAAGCTTGAGTACCATCCTAACCGGTGACCAAGAGAAAGATGCAAAAACATCTCAAGGCCTCTAGCCAGGGGCGTCCAACCTGTGGTGCAGGCCACATGCAGCTCAAGGTGGCTGTGAATGCAGCCCATCACAAAGTTGTAAATTTACTTAAAACATCCTGAGATTTTTCTGTGGCTACATGCCACAGTGTATTTAATGTGTGGCCCAAGACAACTCTTCTTCCAGGACGGCACACGGATGCAAAAAGGTTGGACATCCCTGCCCCAAATGAAGCCACGATCTTTATAAAACTTCACAGTGAGACTGGGGAGAGGGGAGTGGAATAAATACTCTCAAGTCATTCAGTTCCTGTCCAGTAGGTGGAAGCACCACCCAGGCCTCCATGTTGCTTCTATTTCCCCGCAGGGTTGCAACACTGGAAGTGTACCAAGAGTATTCGTCCTTTCTCAAAGCCAAAAGAAATTATTTATTATTCTTTTGGCTAAAAATTTATAGAAATCCCACTCCCTGGAAAATCTTAGTTCCCAGAATCATTGAATTTCACAGCCAAGAAAGGCTATGGAGAACATATAATTCAACCCCCTGTATTAGAGATAAGAAAGACAGATGGACTTCCTCAAGGTCATCCAACAGAACAAGGGCTCCAAACCCTTTGAATCCCTGTCCAGTGCTCTTCACTCTGCAGGACTAGAGGGCAATTTAGAGTAATGATGGTGAGACCATTGAATGAAAAAATACAACTATGTCAGTATGAACTTGAGAAACAAGGGATCAGAAGGGAAACCAGAAGGTTTCGGGGAGTCCATGAACTTCAGTTCTCTATGTGGTAATAAGGGTGGGTAAAAGACCTATCAAGGAAAATCTATTTATTTTAAAAGCTTACACGAGCACATGGTAAAACCTGCCTTAATACAGGGGTGAATAAACAAGTGTAAAAAGGCCTTTTTTGGAAAAGATCTTTTTTAAAAAGTTTTAAACATAAGTTCACATCTCAGCTGTTACTGTGATCACAGACAACTTACACTTCTGGACCTCAAGCCTCCCATCTATTAAAATGGGGCTGATAAAAATCAAGCTCAGTGGTTGTGGTATGCTGTCTGGCACACAGTAGAAGCACAGTACATGATGGCTATCATTATTGCCATGGACAGTTGGTGAGGTACCTACCTCTCAGGATTCTTGATCTCTTCAGTGACATAGTTGAGAGTGTCCCAGCCCGAGTAGGAGAACAGAGCTGAGTACAGTGCCAGGGCAATGTCACCCATTGCATATGATGAACCCTCAAAGGAATTCTCAAAGTGAGTCGTGTCTCCTGGAACCCAGAGAACATGGAAAGGCAGGATTAGTGACCTATTCCCAACCTCAAAGTGATCCAGAAAAGGGGTGGAAGAATATGGCTAACAGCAGGTGAGTGGCTTAAAACACCTTTGGCAGTAAGGGTATCAGTGAAGGAACAGGGAACAGAAAAGAGACAACTACCACGATGGGCCAATTGTAGGGTACAGCACGGGAATCTGACAGGAAGGTCCCAATGTGGCTTCCGAGGAGTAGAAGGGCTAGAGAACAGGAGTGATGCATTTCTGTCCTGCCCTGCAAACTGCCCAATTCTTCTCCCTTTCTAACACCAGACTGAGCTCATACAGGGTGGAGGAAGGTCAGGACTCCATAAGCCCAGGTCAACAGAGTAGTTGGAGAGTAGGTGTCCAGACCTGGAAACAGGCGGAGTGGGTATAAGGAGTTCATTTCTGCCGTAGCCACAGCATTGGGCTTCACAATCAGCAAAAGCCATCTCCCAGTGAATGGCTGGCAGCCCTTTTGCCAAGATCATCCTCCTCCGGGAAGCAGCATGCATAGAAGGTAAAGGACAGGGCTTCAGGGTCAGTACCTAGGTAAAGATTTCAGCTCCACCATTTAATAGCTAATGTCTTAGGCAAGATACTTAATTCTGCATTCTTAGTTTTCTCATCTATAAAATGGGAATAATAGGACCTACCAAATTAGATAATTATAGAATGCACAAATGACACTTAAAGGAATGTGACTCATAGAAAATGCTTAACAAATATAGGATGATACTATTCCTTACCCTGGCCAAGTCTAACAATGCCTGCGATGATGACGGCGATCAGAGCCAATACTTTAGCATAGGTGAAAATATCTTGTACCATTGTTCCCCACTTGACATAGGCACAGTTAATGAAGGTTAAGAGACCTGAAAGAAAAATAACAGTGGTTGATAACTGTACCATCCAGAGGGCCTTAGACTTCCAAGCAATTTTTCCAGTACCGGTCACCAAAACAGACCTTTGGTGAAAGTCAAGTGTTGGGCTCAGACCTATGCTGCATTGGAAGCCTCTGCCCAGCACTTCCTCACCATCAGCATGTAAAAGAACTTGTTGAGCACCTGCGTACATAGCAACACACACCCTCAGTGGGATGACATAAAAAGAGACATAAAGTGACTGTGGATTTGCTTACATACAAAAATGCTCACAGCAGAGGGAGGCAACCTAGCTCTAGGGAATTAGGATGTATTAAGGCTGTTTTCTCTGAAAAGTCACAGTTTCTCCACCCTCTCCATCCTCCTACCCTCGGATATGGGCTCCAGGACCCAGTAGTCTGATGCCATGGTATTACTATTAACCTTGACGAGTCCTGTTATGACTTATCCAATGTCTGGGCCAGCAGGTCAGGATGTGTGGCCAGGGATTAGGATGGAGGCCAGACTTCCTGCTACTGCCTGCCAGCTCAGCTGCTTGTTTTCATGTTTGGAAAGATTTTTGGAATCAAAATTCCTACAAAATGGGGACAGGGTATTTTTCCTGACTGGACAATGAAAAACCAAGAGCCACAAACATTCTTCAAGTCCTTCCCCTAACACAGAGGCAATCCCTTTAGAGCCACGGTTCTTAACCTAGGGCTTCCACAAGGCCTGATATTCTTTATAAAGTGTTACGTAGATATATCCAAAGTATATGCATTTTTCTAAGGAAAGAGTCCAGCCCTGACTGGCATGGCTCAGTAGGTTGGGCTGCAAACCAAAGGTCATCATTTCAATTCCCCATCAAGGCACGCGCTTGGATTGCGGGCCAGGTCCCTGGTTGGGGGCGTGCAAGAGGCAACTGATCAATGTTTCTCGATGTTTCTCTTGTACATCAATGTTTCTCTCCCTTTCTTTCTCCCTCTCTTCCCCTCTCTCTAAAAAATAAATAAAATCTTTTTTTAAAAAGTCCATATCTTTTGTCAGAACCTCAAAGAAATCTATTACCCCCCCACAAAAAGTTACAGTCCACTTCAGAAGAAGAAATTAAAGATGGGAAGCCCACACATGCTGTGAGGTTGACCAATAAGAGCCTCAGGATGTGGCAGGGAATAAAGTCAAAAGAAACAATTCTGAAATTCAGCAGAATGTTCCTAAATCCCCCACCAACCTCTTAAACAGGCAGGCAAGCACACACACCACAGCTTCCCCACTGTGGCAGTGAATGGCTTCACTGCTCCCTCCTTCCCAGCTCAGCAAGTGGAGCACAGGAAGGATGGCTTAACAGTCCTCCCAAGGATTCCAAGGACAAGGTCACAGTCAGCCTGCCTTATCAGTGGAGAAAGTGAGGCCCAGTGGTGGGCTGACCTGCTTCGGGTCACCAACAGAGTCAGGAGGTACTTCCTGTCTCAGTTCTGGCAGTAGTGTGTCCTTCCCTCTTCCTAGTTCTCCCATTTTGTTGTATCTTGGTTGCCTTATACTCTGGCCTGAGGCTACTTCATACTGAGAAGCAGGAAAGACCAGCCTCTCCAAATAGCAGTTCTTTCTTCTGTCTCTCCCTCTCCCTGCCCTTATACCCTTCCTTTTCTACTCACTGCCCAAATTCTTTTCTGCTCTTCCCAGAAAAGGGGCATTCCTGTGTCATACAAGCACTTGCTTTTCTGCCTAATAAACAAGACAATAAATAATCAAATCTTATCACAAGGCTGGGCAAAAATGCACCCACAACTCCAGGCTATCCCAGTGCTAAGTTAATAATTAAGGATACAAGCATACACTCTCCGCAAGCACCCTACAAAATCGCAAAAGTGCCTGTATCTCATCCTCCACAAATCTTTCGGATCTGTTGATCCTCCTCAGCCAGTCACCCATCCTTTTCTCCCCACAGGACTTCTGCCTCCAGCCATTCAATAGCCCTCATGCCCCTTCTCTTCCTCCTGTAACCCTTACCTCTAACCCCTGCGGCTCTGCTTCTGCTGTACAAGTAGAACTCCAAACAGCAGGGACAACGGGTGCTTCCATAGTCACAAAGGAATGGGATCCCCTAATCAAAATTCATGGTTAGCCCCCGGGGTAACCATGGGTCACAATACCAAACTGGGGCCGGCTAAGGGACACATTCTGGTTCAGAGTCAGTCTGAAGCTTTATACCACAGGTTCTATTTTCAGTTCTATCCAGGCATATGGGCAGGCTAAAGCCAATTCATCATCCTTTATTACAACAAATTCTGAAATGAAAACACATGGATTGTTCACATGTTTAATCTCTACTGTTTTTCTCCCATATCCATCCATTTGTATTCCTCCTTTTACCTACCAGTCCCCCCACCCTGCACCCAACCTTATTTCTCAGTCACTCCTCCACCCCCCCATTTTGCCATGATCTGCTCTCTATATTGAGCACAGGGGGACTGGTTTGAATGAAGAAGGGAACCTGTGGAAAAGAAAAAAGCAGAGGAACTGCCTGAAAAGAGTTGGCTCTCACCTTTTCCCAAACCCTGCATCCTAGAGGGCCTCTTTGGCCATGAAACAGGAAATGGGTATGGGAAGTAGCAGTGCTGACTGGGCTCTTTGTCCCCACCCCTAGCAGATACAGCTGACCAGAGGCCCCAGAGCCCAGCCAAGTACGCTGTTCTTAAGGCAGAGCCCAACCTCCTGTTTCAGAGGCAGGGAAATGAGGGGAACATGGAGATAGAATATAAAGGCAGCTGTAAATTAACTTCAAGGACAGAGATGCCCTACCCTCCTACCTCTAGGCTCAACTCAGTCTCCACCCAACATTGGCCCAAGTCCACAGGAAATGGCCTGAAATCACTTTGGACCCTTGACCAAGGGGCAGCTTCATTCCTGCCTTGGCACGTGCTTTGGAGAAAGGAGAAGCTATGAAGAAGTCATCCTATAAACATGTAAAGAGATGCTCCTGAATGAGTCATCCAACCCAGCCTCCCTAAGCTCCTGGAACAGGAGGCTGGTTCTAGCACTAGCCCAGCATCAACTCTGGAACTAAAAGCGAGGAAAGCACTGGCTAAGTTGATCCAGAACAAAACAAAGCTTGCAGATCCACTCAGGATCAGATACCCAGATTTATCATAGTTTAGATGCCCAAACTAAGAAATCCCTGAAAAAGAATGGTAAACCAACAACTCTCCCAGCACCATTAGTTTTAAATACATACAATATAACACACAAAACTTAGGACGTTACTGAATCTGTTTTCTGTTTCAAATGCCCAAGGACTGTAAAACCTCAATACTTTAGTAGACAAGTCATTCCATTTTTAAAGGAATCAATAGCTCTTCTTTCCACTAAGCCAAAAACGTCTTCATTGCAACTTCCACCCAGCAGTTCTAGGCCTCTCCTTTGGAGCTATGCAGAATCAAGAAAGCCCCTTCCACATAATGCCCTTCTTATTATACAGGTACAGCCTGTCCCCTTGAGTCCGCCCTCTCTCAGGTTAAAATTCCAGTTTCTTCAGTCTTTTGTGTGGACAAATATGGCTTCCAGACGACTCGCAATCGCAGTTCTCTCCTCTGCATTTACAGTACCTAACTTTGTCAGTGTCTCCCTGGAAACTACAGGCATTTTACAGACCATGGAATTGCAGTTTGAACTCGCTGTCAGCAACAGCTCCTTTCTGCCCCACTACAGACTGATGAGCTTTTCCCTCTCCCCCTTTTTGGGCATATAAAAATTATTTTTTTAAAAATCCCAAAGATGGCACTTTACATTCCCTTGTGAATTTTTAGGCATCATTCCCATCTGCTAGAAATGGATTTTTCCACCTTAATTTTGTCCGTTCAAATGCCTTCAATTTCAAGTACAAAATTGAAAGCATTTAAACTAACTTCATTGGAAGTCACTGATAAAAATGTAGTCCAGGATAGGCAGAGCCCTGTAATCTATCATTATAGACCTTCCTCTATGCTGGTATTATTCCAGAACATCAATCAAGAATCCACCAAACTGTTCTTTTATCTAGTCTACCTTTTTCCACCTGGTCAACAAGACCAGGCCAGGTAGTTCAGTTGCTCAGAGTGTTGTCCGGATGCACCAAGGTTGCAGATTCGGTCTCTGGTCAGGGCACATACAAGAGGCAACCAACAAAGGCATAAATAAGTGGAACAACAAATTGATATTTCTCTCTCAAAAAAAATTTTTTTTAATTTAAATTAAAAAGAAAAGAATATCATGAAAGTTTACCAAGAACCTCTCTGAAATCTGCACACACGTCTCTGTTCTAACAATCTAATGATGCTATCAAGTAATTCAAATAAAATTAGTACATATCTATACTAGAATGTTCATAACCAATAGTCAAAAATTAGAAACAAACCAAATGCCCATCAACAACAGTAGAGCGGCTAGATCATTACAATGGAATACTAAAAAGCAGTGAGAATAAGCCACCTACAACTACAGACAAAAATATGGATGAACTTCACAAACATATTTAGTGAACAAGCCAGGCACAAAAGATTACATATCTTTTATATCCATTTACATTAAAAAAAAAAAAAAAGGTAAAACTAATCTATGCTACTAGAACCCAGAACAGTGATTTCCCTTAGTGTGTTTGGGGGGTGGAGCACAAAGAAGGGACTGGGAGGAACACAAGAAGGGTTTGAGGGCTGCTTTCTTGATGTAGATGCTGGTTACACATGTGTGTTCAATTTGTGAAAATTCATCAAGCTGTGCACTTACATTGTGCACTGTTCCTTGGTGTATATTACATTTAAATAAAAAATTAAAGGTAAACAAAAAATAAGGTTAGCTTAGCCTGGCTTATTTTTAGTGAATCTATACAAGTTCCTGGAGATTCTCCGTTCTTCTTATATTTTGCTAACCAGGTAAGCCTAGAATTTAGACAGAAATCAACTTCAAATTATCAGTGCAGAATGCTCAGAATCCACTTCTCCCTATTTCTTGGAAAGAAAGTTATCACAGGTTATCCT